GTAGTAGTAGTAGTAGTAGGGGTAGCAGTAGTACAATCGACGTTCTGGACATCACTGCGCTGAGTCTGCGTAGTATAGAAGCCTGAAAGATTCATAACAGTATTGCTTGGGACTCCTTATTATGATACAGGTTTTGTATGTATGCGTATATATACACACACATACACACACACACACACCTTTGTGATCATTTATTTACATGTCTACTTCTTATATGCCCCAACACCCTACTATTGAGGCATGTGTATTGGAGTGATAAGCCTCCGGCCTCTGCCGGGCATGACCCCAAGTGGTGATAGTGGAAGGGAGTGGTAGCCGGAATAAGCCAAGAATGAGACCGTTAACCCAAAGAAATTGCAAGAAACAAGAAGCAGCATGATGCTATCAAACTGGTTTGTTGGAAGACCGTACTGTACGCAGTAACACTATGGAAGATCGGACTGCAGCAAACAAACATCATTGACCCCAAGCCCTAGATCCCAAAGCTTCCTTCGAACCCAAAACCACGCCAAGAATCCGTAACCCTGAGCAGAACACTCATCTAAGTCCCACAACCACCCCGCGCTCACCCGACAACCGAAAGCCAGAAAGAACCCCAAGGTCGGGAAGCGAGAGATCCTGAGCCCTGAACCTTAAGCCGCAGCCCTGATCCCCTCACCCTAAGAGTTAGGCCCCTTAACCCTAAGACCCCTTAGTACCCATACAGAACCCGAGGGCCGGAAAAATGCTACTTCTAGAAACCCACATAGAAACTTCTCAAGCTCTAAATCCCACGGAGCCGCGCCTGCAGATATGCAGCCCGGATAGCATTGGAGCGGCTGTCCGCCTGGAGCTTCGTGACGTCCAAAAGGGTCTTTTACACGGTTTGGGGTTTAGGGCCTAGGGTTCCAGCATAAACAACACGCTCCAGTCTTCCGCAAGGTTGGGGGACGCGTGACGGTGAGACACCTTCACTCCCTCGATGGGTCTGCTCTCCCAGCAACCCTAAACCCGAAACCCTAAAGCCTGAACCCTAAACCCCAGACTCACTCAGAAGGACATGGGACTCCAAAGGATGACCAGTGCTTCTGCATCCCCGGATTTGGAGTTTTCAAGCCCTGGTACAAAAACTCTACCACTGCCTACACCCTAAACCCTATATCCTAAACTCTCATCCCTAAACCCTAAACCCTATATCCTAAACCCCAAACTTCAAACCCTAAACCCTGAACTGATCCCGTTAACAAAGGACCCTTGCCAAGCGACCCCTGGATCGACACAACTCCAAAGTAGGCCTTCAAAGACTTTCACAGGACAAAAGGAGCGTGACCATCCCGAGTGGCAGCGGACATAAGTGTTTAGGTGTTTAGGGTTCAGGGTTCAGGGCTCAGGGCTTAGGGGGTCAGGGGGAAGGACCTGAATCGTTTCAGGAATTCGGGATGTAGCAAAAAAACTATACATCATGCATCCACAGGGTGATAGAGGAAAACTGCAGGAATTTGTGTCGATGCCTGCTTTTCCTCTAGGGTAAGCTTTTTCTAGTGTTACTTCTATATTTAAGAATTTAGAAGCAAGTCCCTAAATCCTGAACCCGAAACCGTGTTCAGGGTTGAGGGTTCAGGTTTCAGGGTAACCCTTGCATTCACTTAAATCCAACACCCTGAATTCCGAAATGGAGCCCAAACCCTTGATCCTCAAAACCAAACCCCAGAATAGGGTTTCGGGGTAAAGTACATAGGGACTTGAAACTCAAGCCCTTAACCAAACCCGTTGCGCCTCTAGGAACACAGAGGTGTCCGTAACGATGTTGATGCCCGCCAGCTCCCGCCAGAAGACCCCAAAGGTCGTGAACATGCCCAGGAAGACCAGCAAACCTCAGCTCTTCCCCAAAACTCGAAACCCTAAACCCCAAACCCCAAACCCTAAACCCCAAACCCTAAACCCTAAACCCTCCACGGTTCCGGGTCTAGGGTTTCAGGCTTTGGGTGGACCGGGCTTCAGAGTTTAGGGCTTGGGGTCCAGGGCTTCAGGCCCCAGGCCCGGCCCATTTCACCCCCAGATGGCGAAAGCCTGTAGAGTAATGCGGGGGCCTTAAAAATTAGAATAGGGTTTAGGGTTTAGGGTTTAGGGTTTAGGGTTTAGGGTTTAGGGTTTAGAATAGGGTTTTGGGGCCCATTATACGATACTATAGTATAGGTAATCATTTGGGTTTTGGGGCCCCGGATACTATAGTTATAATAAGGAACCCCCAATATCGCATAGGTAATTATTTAGGCCCCTATATTAGCACTCCAAGCCCCGACTACCCAACCTTCTCGTTGTCGCCCTTCTCGAGAGTGGAGGGCTTGTGTTTGACTTTGGGGCATAACACTTACAGACACTTTGGCATGCATGGTTTGTGGGTGAAGGCCTTATGGTTCGAGTTTTGGGTTTAGCGGTTTGGGTTTAGAACTCATAGGGTTTACACCAAGCGACAGAAGGTAATCGGACAGTGCGCCGTGCAGCAAGGGAAGCTTGCACAGCACGGGCTCAGGCAGACGGGTCTCCTTGGTCAGCGGATTCGGGCTTAGGGTTTGGGGTTTAGGGCTTAAAGCTATCATAGGGTCTAGGGTTTACTGCAAACAGGGACGCCTAGATACTAAGAAAGCCCTCAGACATCGTTAAAACAAACGAAAACATAACAACATAACAACCCGAACCCCAAACCTCTAACCCTTAAGCCCTAAACCCTGACCGAAACCGAACAGACGCGCCTAAGTTATGCATAGAAGCCCCGGTGAGAAGGACAGCCGGGCCACTTGACAGCTCGCTCCACTGGTCTCTCTTTCACGAAGGGCTGGCTCTGCACCTGGGTCGGTTACGGTTTGGGGCTTAGGGCTTGGGGCGCCGGGTTTAGAGTTTTGGTGTTGGGGGCTTAGGGTATCGGGCTTGGTGTTCAGGGCTTCGGGTTTAGAGTTTTCGGGTTTGGGGTTTCGGGTTTAGGGTTTTGGGCTTTGCGGTTAGATTTCGGTGGTTAGTGCGTCTTTAAAAGGGTACACACCCTAGACCGGTGAACCCCTCGGAGCCCAGAAGGTTTGGGGTTTCGGGTTTAGGGGCCTTACTAACTCGAATAAGGTTGGATTTGGGGTACATTGTAACTGTAAGTATATACAGTAAGGATCCCGAACATAATATTGGCCCGAACATAGTATTGCTAGGCCCCTATGTTCTTCCCCCAAACCTTAAGCCCTAACCCCTAGGACCAGAACCTCTAATACTATTTAGGGTTTAGGGTTTAGGGTTTAGGGTTTAGGGTTTAGGGTTTAGGGCGATCGGATTCAAGGCTTCAGGCCGGCAGGGCGCTAGGACTTCCTGGGCTTCACGGGCAGGGCTTAGGGTTTAGGGCCTTGGCACTTGGGGTTCAGGCTCAGGGTGCAGGAGCAGTCAAGTTAGGGTTTAGGCTTTAGGGTTTAGGGATTGACAGCTTCAGCTTTTTGGGTTTGGAGGAAGGACCTACCAAAGCATCGCCCGGGATGCAATCCTGTACTCCCTGGTTCAGCTAGGACGCACGGTTCACAACGATTCCTATCATGAATACTGATAACATCGCTGAAAAACGACACGAATACGAGCAGAGGACCATTAGCGCAATCATAACTGCAGCACACCAACATTATTCCGAGCACCGGTTTAGCGAGAATCTCTGTCGCCGTACCCGGCCACTGGGGCGGAAAGCTGCGCATTCCGTCCTGGAGGATATGGCATTGAGCCAGTGGTTAGATGGTAAAAGACGTAAATCTTACAGGACGTCTAAGGAGGATGTCAAGTGATGATTACATAAGAATGCGTGTGATCTGCATAGCACATGAGCGGCGGGCAATGTTTAAAAGGACAGAAAGCAGGCATCTGTAGAGGGGTATCGGTTTTGGGATTTGGTATCGGTTCTCCACCTGGTACATTCAACAAGTGTATGTTAGGTACAGGTATCGGTTCTCCACGAAAGTGACCTTCGTCCTCCTGTAGTATTGCGACAACCCCAATGACGCTTGTCGCCCACGGATGGTTGGAGGATTGATGCTTCCATATTGCAGAGCGCCGAAATCCCTAGCCCTACGGCCCACTTGAGTATTCTGGCTGGGATTGAAAGCGCTGGAAAGTTTAGGGGTTAGGGTTCAGGGATCAGAGGTTGGAATTTGAGGTATGTAGGGCACAGGAATGGAACATTGTCTCATGCTAATACAAGCTAGGTGATGGTCGGGGTGGGGGCTTGCAGCGCGTGCCTTGGGCACCCACGCACCTATCGTCGAGACACCATAGAGCCTCCAACCTAAAGCAGTAATCCTAAACCCCAAAGCCTACGCCCTAAAGTTTAAGCCCTAAACTAAACCCTAAACCCGAAAGCCTACACCCAGAAACTTAAGCCCTAAACCCGAAGCCTGGAAGCGCTGATCCCATGACCCGGAGCCTCTGTGTAAGCCCTGGCACCATGACCCTGAATCCCTAAACTGCCCTTAAACTCATCCCGGAACGTATAGTACACCCAATAATATTCCTTGAGCTTCCCTATAATAGAATAAAACATAACCCAAAACCTTATTCCAAGGTGTTCTAAGCATTCCGGCCCGTTTGCTGGTCGCCTGATTCTCCTGACTCCCGGAAGTGGGGGAAGCAGTTGCATCCAGGGGAATCTCCTTCACGCGCCGAGGGATTGGTGGCTTTGGAGATAGGGTTATAGAGGTATTGCGGTCTGGGTTTCGGGTATAGGCTGCGGGCGATAGGGCTGTTTTCCCTGAAGGCTGAACATTTTCGGCCTTGGGGTTTCAGGGTGCAGGGCTGCTTATAGGGTTTACACAAGAAGCTGCCGAGACCGCCGCTGACCATTTGCACTGGCGCGCGAATCTTCGACCGAAACCCCGGCCGAGCATTTCGACAGGACGGTGAGGGAGGGTAAAGCCTCCCGGTATACGGGGACGGAAATGACGCGGCTACGCTTCACACAATACGGGCGTCAGCCCGTTAAAATGAGGACCCCAACCCCACGACCATTGATTCCCTCACTGCTCTTTTGGTCTCCCAAAACGCCTATTTCCTGCGAGGTTTTCCCTGCAGGGATGGATAGGTGTACACTTCGAGCGACCCTCACAGAGTGCGAAGTGCTTGTTGGAAACCCTTGCTTCTCGTCGAGCGGCCCGCACAGGCGCGAGGACCCTCAAGTTCCATCCAAGCTGTGGTTTGCTGTGAAACGCTCACATTTTGCAGAATTGCGAAGGGAAGCGGAAAGCAAGAAAGCCCCTTTGAGGGAGTTTAGGAGGTGAACCATAAACCCTAGTTGAGAATAGCTTGGGTGGTTGGGGCGGGACTTCATGCTGACTCAAGCGCACGATAAGTGGGTGCGTCCGTATTCCTAACGTAAAAGGCGCACCCACTGCGCGAACACTGCATACACACCCCAAACCCTGCACAAAAAGTCTTGGTGCGGGGGTCTTGAGTGACGGCTAAACGGCATTGAGCGGCAATTGCAGATCCGCAAACCCTCCGCCCTAGACCCCGAAACCTAAACGGTAAGCCATAAGCCCTCAGCCCAAAACCTAAGCACTAAACCCTTAAACCTGAAGCCTAAACTCAACCCCTGGGCGATAAGGGCTTTCAGGCGGGCTCTGGGCTCTTTTGGGATTGGAGAACACTGAAATTTTGCTCTCGGTCATTAAGCATACAATCGAGAATGCTGGCAACATTGCTGAATCCCAAACCAACAATCCTACCCTCTAAGCCCCAGCTATTAAAGCTCAAACCCTCGAGCCTAGATCGACAACCCTAATCCCCACACCTACTGCTATTTCTAGGAGTTAGGATTCGGGGGACCCCTGGGGATTATAGACCCTCTCAGTAAGGCCCGTTTTAAGACTAAGAAAATCATAAGTAGGGTTAAGAAGGGTGGGTCTCCCGAAAACCCGGCGCCTCAGATTTTCCGTGAAGCCTTGACGCTTTCAGGATGCCGGGGTGTTTGGGCATTACGCTGATGCTCGGCTAGGGCGTAGGGCTCCGGATTTAGGATTCAAGGCCTAAGGTTTAGGGTTGAGGGATTAGGATTCAGGGTTTGGGGTTCAATTCTACACCCTAAACGCTATATACTGTGCCCTACGCCTCACGCTTTATGCAGGCCGAGTGCAAAGGTTTCGGTTCTAGGAGGTTTGCGGACGATGAGCTACGGGCTTCCAAGGCTGCCGTGCAAGAAGACTGCCCAAAGCCACTATGGCACCTTAAACCAATAATCTAAACCTTCCGCCCTAGAATCTCTAGAGCCTAAATCCCAAGTCCTAAACCCTAAACCCTCACGCCTAAACTCCCAATGCTTGACCCTATATCCCAGATCCTAAAGCCCCCTAAGCCGCCTAAACCCCCGAAGCCAGGCATCCTTTTGTGGAGTGCCGGCATCTGCAGCTTCGCTGCCGCCTTCGCCGGCGCTTTGGCTTTCGCCGCTGCTCCCGGGCCCGGCTACCACAACAGGCTCCTCGCCGGCCTGGCGAGGCAATTTCTGGGCTTTCGGATTCAGGGTTGTTGCAGTTATGGTTTAGGGTTACTGGATTTGGGGGTTTAGGGTTGAGGATTTTTGTTAAGTGCACTGCGGGGCCCTTTCCCTTGCCGCCGCCGCATTGTCCGGGGTGTAGCACTTAGGGTTCAAACCCTCCAACCTCAAGCCCAAACCCAAAGCCCAATCCGATTGATGTGGAACATGGATTTAGGATGCTGTGAGCTAGGAGTCCCTAAACCCTACCCTAAAGGGCTCCCTTCAAGTCGTTCCTGTAAAGGGTTCCTTTAAGGGCTTCAGGTGATGTTTCAACAGCTGTTGGCCTCTACCGTACAGGTTTTGGGCTCCAATGGTTGGGGTATGGGGTTTGGGGGTATCAGGCATTTATAACAGCATATCATGCTCGTTTTCGATCAGTTCATATCTATTCTATATTATAGTATACTATGTTCTAGCATAGTATGTTATATTCTATGAATGAAAATATGTGATTAGTTTAGGGTTCGTATCGTGTTTTAGGGTTACCGGCCCAGACTTTAGGCCGTATAGGTTTAGGGTTTGGGGTTTAGGGCTTAGGGTGCCCCTAAATCCTAAACCCTAAACATCCCTGATCCCCAAAAATCTTCAACCCGTCCTCGGACCATATCTGGATCACCGCCTCCTCGGCTTCCTCCCGGGGCGTGTCAGGCGCCTCTCGCGCCTCAGCCTGCAGCTGCTTGGCAGGTTCATATAATATAATCTCTAATCTAATCTAATATACATATATATATATATACTCGAATATAATATGATATAAGATAAGAAAAAAACATAAAACATAATATAATATCATATAATAGAATGGGGGGTAACATAGCTCCGTGAGAAAGGGTGTACCAGGGTGACCTTACGGGTTATCAATGAAGGGCCGTAACGGCTCCCTTTCAGAGGGGTCTATAAGCTAATAAGGGCGAGTATAAGGGCTACTATCACACGGGGTTCAGTTTGGGGCCTCCCTCAAACAGGGTCGAAGGGCTACTACAGCTACTACAACGGTTACAATCACGCAAGGTCTAGTACAGGGGCCCCTTCGAAGCGGGGTCGACAAGGGCTGCTAGACGGGTGCCATCAGGGCTTAGTATAAAGGCAGGTAGAGAAAGGAGTTTTGTGAGTCTAGTAATTGAAACTTGCTCGCCTGGTTGTATCTGAATGTTTTGTGCTAGCACCCCAGAACAGATGCTCATTCAGAACGACGCTAAACCGTAAACCCCAAACCCGACACCCTAAACCCTAAACCGCAAACCCGAAACAGTACAACCTAAACCCTAAACCCCAAGCCCGAAACCCGAAACCGCAAACCCTAAACAGTATAACCTAAACTCTAAACCCCAAACCCGAAACCCGAAGCCCTAAAACCCGAAACAATATAACCTAAACCCTAAACCCCAAGCCCGAAGCCCGAAACCCTAAACCGTTGCAGCGGAGGCGCCGGACTTCTCTGCGAGCTGCTGGAGGCCTCCGCGCTGGACGCGGAGGGCCCAGGGCTGATCGGTATCGGCACCGGCAACTCCGAGGTTTCATCCGGGAACCTCGGGAGGCCGGGTTTAGGGCTTTGGGGTTGAGGGTTTAGGGCTTTGGGGTTGAGGGTTTAGGCTGTGGGATTTAAGGATTAGGCTTTGGGGTTTAAGGTTTAGATGTTTAGATTTAGAGTTAAGGTTTGCGGCCTAGAATTTAAAGTTTAAAGTTTAGGCTTAGAGTTTAGGGCTTATCATTGATAGGGGTTGCCGAGACCCTGAGTTCCAAACACAAATCGATGGTCGGTCTTCTTGGCCCCCCTTCAAAACCTAAAACACCCAACCCTAAACCATATAGTCAATAGCCCTGAATAAACCCAACAGCCCTAATCCTAAATCCCTAAAATGGTTGTAGAAAAGCAGCGGAAACAAGTCTGCCAGGGGGAGGGGCGGAACTTGCGCCGCCCTCTCGTTGGGTATGGAGGCGACCGCCTCGACCGTCTCTGAAGGTTCGGAAGGCTCCTCTCTTTCGGAACGGCTGAAGGTTTAGGGCTTTAGGGCTTTGGGGCACTCAGGGTTTCGGGGGTTTGGGGTTTAGGGTTTAGGGCCAAGTTTAGGGTTTAAGGTTTAGGGGTTTAGGGCTTTGGGGGCACTTAGGGTTTTTTGTGGGGGGGGTTGGGGCTTAGCCTTAAAAACCTCGGATCTGCCTCTCTCGGGGATCTTCGGAGCTTAACATAGGACAGCTGCAAGCTTTTGTTGCAGATTCCGACACAAGGTGTCATGAAGTCTTAACCCGGTGCCCCTACAGTTTGGGGCAGCTGCGGCACGACTTCTGCATGCTTCTTGGATGCTCCGTGTTTCGTTTCGGGCTTGTGAGGGACCAAAGCCCCTCCCGAAGATCTCGACCGGAATCCAGAACCCCAAGAGACCATCCCGGCCCCCTCGCCACAAACCAGAAATAGCCTTATACACCCATATAATAATCCTGGCGAAATCCGCTACAATCCCTGACCCCGAAACCGAAAAAAAAGATGACAATCTTATAGAACTCTTCTAGAACCGTTTGAAAGACCCCTTCATGAAAAAACCTATAGAGACCTTCTCGACCTCTGCTAGAATCCTTACTCTTCTAAGTAGCTCTAAATCTATAGAACAAGAGCCCTTCATGAAACTTCCCCCGACCCCTCCCTAATCGCCTCTGGGTCCTGGGACACCTCGGGGCTGTTTGCCTCGGTCCTCCCTGGGCTCCGACTCGGATCCTGCCAGAATGGGGTGGCTTTGCAAGGCTTAGGCTTCAGAGCTTAGAGCTTAGAGCTTAGAGCTTAGGGTTTGGGATTTGGGGTTTAGGGTTCGGGGTTCAGGATTTGGGGTTTAGGCTTGAAAAGCTTAAGGCTTTGGATTTAGGTTGTGTGTCGGAGGATTTAGGGTTAGGGTGTCGGATTTGGGGTTTAGCGTTTAGACCATATGTCCCGGGTCTCGGGCCTGGGGTTAGGGTTGAAAACTTGGGCCGGGGCCCCGATTGGCAGATGAGCTGCTGGGGTCACCCGAAACATCGCGGCAAGGTGACCGGAACCCGACAGCAGCTTCGGTTTCGGGGCTTAGGGTTTAGATCTTAGGCTTTGGGCTAAGATCTTAGGTTTAAGGTTTAGCTTTTTGGCAGTGGGGTTTAGATGACAGATTTTCGGTTTGGGGTTGGGGCTTTAGGTGGAGGATTCAAGCTGTGAGCGGGTTTGGGAGCGGATTAGAGGCTTAGGATCAAGGTTGAGGGTTTTGGGTTTAGGCTCAAGCCAGGTTTAAGCAAACGGTGGGTTGGGGCCAGGGCATCAGGCTTAGGGCGGTTCGGTGAAACTTTGCTCTATTTAACCTGGCGTTAGGCCTAAGGCCTCTGCGCTCAGGATGGAGGGTTGAGGCCTTTAGGCTTTAGGAGTAATTAACGAAGAAAGTCTTGTGTTATCTTCTCGCAACTTCGTGGCCCAAAGCAACCCTTGTCCACGGCCCCGTAAAGAACCTCAAGTAGAAGCCCAATGAATCCGCTGGCCATGTCTTCTTTAACTCAACCCTAAACCCTAAACCCTAAACCCTAAACACAACCCTCAACCCTCAACCCTCAACCCTAAAGCCAAGGCTAGGCCTCCGGTGCCCGAGCCTTGGGCCATGTTTGAACTTAATCCCAGAACTGAAAACCCGTATACACCCTAGGCCCTCAGCCCTCCACCTAAACCTTGAACCCGAAACTGGACATCTGAACTTTTAATCCCAAACCCTAAACCATATATCCTGGAACCGACAACCACGTAGAAGCCTTGCAGTACCCTTGTATAAAACAGTATAAAACGCATGTGAGCCCCTAACCCAGCAACTGTCCTTTGGGCGTCTCAGCCGCCGTCGGGGTTCGGTCGTGGTCTCCTGAGGGCTTTTTCGGTCGGCTCTCATGGATCTAGCCTTCAGGGGTTTTGGGCTTGGCGGTTTAGGGTTCCGGGCTCAGCGTCTATGGCTTTGGGGTTTACAAGGAACTTAGCAGCTTAGACAGCCTATCTGAAGGAGGTTCGGGGTTAGGTTTAAGCGCTCCCGGATTTGGAGCTTAGGATTCAGAGCTGGTATTTGAGGCTTTGAACGCCTGTCTCGTACCCGGAATCCTGATGTCACCTGCAGGAAACCTGTCTGTCATGATGCGTCGTCTCAAGTACGTACCCCGTAAAAGCTGGCTACCTGAATCCACCATTTCATTCAGATTGGGACTGCTGTGTTTGGTGTCAGCGAAGCTTCACAACTGAAGTATACAGCAGGTGTATGTGCCGAGTGGTTTCGCGTCTTTCTCGAGCATCGTGTGCAAACATTAGCTTTAGGATCAACTACGTCATACCACGTGGCATTACGTTTTTGATGTTTAGTGCCTCCGGAGCAACAACGAAGACATAGACTGACCAATATTCGTTCGGAGTTCAATCCGAAATCACTTTTTCAGCCCTCAATCATCTTCTAGCAACGGCGCAGGGGTCTTCACAAGTCTGATACAAGCATACACTGAGAGGAGACACTACAGTTGCTAACCCCCAAATCTCGAATCCTCAACCCCAAATCCTCAAAACCCTCATCACTCCTACAAGCAAGCCCTCAAATATCCTACAAGTAAGCCCTTATTAAGAACCTTCAAAAGGACACCTGAAGATTCCTTGAAGGGACCCTTAAGGGAACCGCGAAAGACCCTACGCCCAAAGCAGCCGAGTCCTCGGCCGCATCGTGCCGGCCGAGACGCCGCCGCGGCGGCGGCGGCGGGGCATCCATGTCGACAGCTCATTAGTCGATTGAGAGTTGCGGGTTTTTTCAGGGGTTGAGGGTTGTAGGGCTATAGGGTTTAGGGTGTAGCTGAAATTGTTCAGATACGTTGGCAGGAGATTTCCAGTTGAGGACGCTCCCGGCGAAAGTCTGGCAGTTGGCAGGCAGAGGGTGACTCCGGCCTGCGATTCATGCTGAAGCTTCAGGCTTTTGGTGTTTGGGGTTTCGGGCTTAAGACATCGGCTTTAAGCTTTTGGGCTTAGGCTCCAGGCCCAAGACATCCTCCGATTCGTTTCGGGGTCTGGTACTCGGAAGGTAGTTCGGGCTTCGGGCGCCCAGGGTGCCACTGGCACTGGCCTGCATGGTTGTTCCTGCCGTTCGCTGGGTCGAATTACAAGCAGCTGCACCGGCGAAGAAGTTGCGATTCTTGTGCAGGTTTCGCAGCTCGGGTCTTAGGGCTTAGGGTTCAGGGCTTAATGGTTTAGGGATGGAAAACCGAAGCTTCCAAGCCCACATCAAACCAAGACTCCAATGCAGGACTTCCATTGGTCCCCGATCCCTGGATGACGACAAGGCCTAGATACCCTTAGTGCTGTGTCAAGGATAAATACGAACCCTTATAAGAACTGCAAACCCCCACACAAAAGCGTCAAAGCCTTGTAGAACCTAAAGAACACTAAGCACCCAACCCACAAAACCCGAAATCGCACAAATGCTCTCGCCCTCGTATGGCAAAACCCTGTACCGCCCAAGACTTGTCTGGATGATGGGCCTTCAACTTTCAGGGCTTCCCTTAATGTAGGGCCTTAAAAATTAGAATAGGGTTCTGGGGTCCTTTTTCGTATAATCACAATGAGCAACCCCTACAATACTACGGGGAATTACTTAGGCCCCTATATTACTTAAGCTCTGGTGACACTGACCTCTAAGCTACCCGAAACGCTAAACCCTAAACCCAAAGGCAAACTCTCTGCAGCCTGTGAGTATTACATATTCTTAAGGCCCCCATTATGACAACCCGGCTACAAAGAGGCCCCGGGACTAGACCTTAAAGCAAGCTGATCGACAAAGGCTTGAAACCGCAACTTCCCAGGCCTTACACTTGAAAGCCGTGAAACCATGCAGCCGAAGGGCTAAGTCAAGTTAGGGTTCAGGGTTTAGGCTTTAAGGTTAAGGGTTGGGGCTTCGGGTTCAAGTTTAAGGTTTAGGGTGTCGGGGGGCGGGGTTCAGGGTTCAGGATATGGATAATGCTTGGAACGGGGAGGCGCACCGACTGGCTGTTGCGGTGCGGCTGGGCAGGCTGCCGATCCTGTCTTTGCGGCTCTGCAAAAGTTTTCATAGGGGGTAATTTGGGTGAGTTTTAGTGTAGGGCTTAGCTCAGGCAGTGGGGTTTGGCTCAAAAGTTTGGTGTAGGTCTCGGGACAGGGCTTATGCCTTGTTGGGTTTACGTTTTGGGGTTGCCGGTTGTGGGTTAAGGTTGGAGGAGTGAAGGTTGAAGGTTTCAAGGCTAGATTAATACAAGGGCCTGGATGAGTTTTTGGGTTTAGGGTTGAGGGTTCAGGGTTGATGGCCAAGCCATGGATGATTTGGGGGCGAGTAGGGGCGATAACGATACTCCGATCTTAAGTGCCAAGGCAGGCGTGATGAGGTCCCGACCGCGGCCCACTTAAACCCCAACAGCTTGATGGCTCTTTGCCCCGAAGAGCCGCAGACCTTGCTGATTGAAACCATCTCCCCTGGAGACCAAAAAAAAAGACTGAAGGCCTACACCCTCAACCTCGAAACCCGAAACCCACTAACGCGAAGCCGCTAACCCAATGGAAGGACGCTTCCCGAAAAAGGAATCCACTAAATATCCACCCTTCCCCCAAGAAAGCCCGAAGCCCCACACCCCGACAGCGTAAGTCTAGAAGTCCCTTAAACCCAAAACCCTAAAGCCTGAACCTAAACCCCAAACCCACGAAATAAATTCTAAACCCTAAACCTAAGCCAAACACCAAACCCTAAACGCCAAGTCCAAAACACCAAACCCTAACCGCCAAGTCCAAAACCCCAAACCCTAAACCGACCTGGGGTCGATTTTGGAAGGGCGGCTGGGGCAGCGCCTTGGCCTGCGAGATTTAGGGTTTAGGGCTTTGAGGTTTTAGGGTTTAGGGCTTTTAGGGCTCTTCTTTGTGGCGGGGGGAGGGGGTTGAGGGTTTAGGGTCTTGGGCTTGTTTCGGGAGAGAGTTTAGGGTTAGGGTTTTTAGGTTGTGGTGTTCGAAACGGGGAGTTTAGGGTTTAGGGTTTTAGAGTATGGGGTTTAGGGATTTGGGGCCTAGGCTTAGGGTTTAGTAACGAGGGGCTTGTCTCCCCGGGTGCTGCTGACCTGGGGTGACTTTACTGGGGTTTAGGGATTTGTGCGTGGCTTCGGGCTTGAGGACTTGATGGTGAGCTTTAGGGCTTCAGGTTTAGGGAGCTTTCTAGGAATGTCTTAGATCGAGCTCTGAAGGCTTTGAGAGCTGGGCCCGACTAGTAAGAGCAGCAGACGTCGTAAGTAGGACATAGTCATCTACACCACTGCTGCAGGAAACAAGGCCCACCTCCCTCTCTCAACGGTAAACCCTCGCTAACTGGGAAACCCTAAACCCTGTGGTGGGGACCCTCAGACTCGAACAAGCGTTGTGAGCCTTGGGTCCCTGCACATGAAAATGCCACGCACCCGGCACTGGCATAACCAGACATCCCCAGCCTGCCACGCCTGTAACAGTTCGGGAACGAACCAGAAGAGTAACAAGCACGTCTCAAACAGATCTACAGATCTCTGTATCCCCAAACCCTTGGCCCTGGAAATCTCTGAACCCCTAAAAACACTAAGTGATGGATACCAACTCCAGAACTCCTTCAACCCTGAGCCCTGGCCTAGACCCCCAAACCCTGAACCCTAAACCTCAACTTAACCCCAAACATACAAGCCCTGTAGCAACTCTTGTATACACGCCCTTGCATACTCGTATGAAACGAACACGACTCCGTCGCACCTGCCGACTTGGCGTCGGGGTTGCATCGCCCTGGCGCGGCTCGGGGCGCACCTGTGGTGCTGATCTATGTGGCTTCCTTTCAGTGTTTCTTCGACAGTGCATTGCAATTTCTTTGTAAGGGGGTAAATTAGGAGTGTGAGAGCTGCCTGTAATCAAGCGGAGCCTACGATTCAGGGTTAACATTGGCACGTCGTGCTCTTCGGCAGTGGGGTTCGAGGAAGGATTTGGGATTTAAGGCTGAGGGTTCAGGCAACAGGTCTGAGGCCCAGGGATTGGGATTTAGGATTTAGGGTTTAGGGCTTTGGGGTTTCGGAGGGTTGGGTTCCAAGGTTTGGGTTTAGGGCGTGTGCAAGAGGAGTGGTGCTGGGTCTGCGCGACGCTACGATCGTTCCTTAACTACTGCTTTGGCCATGATCTGGCCTTTACTATCCTTTTCAGGAACTTTGAATGAAGTGATTCAACTTAGGTTTGGGACTGGACATGGGAAGGGGCTCCTTAACGAGCAACGGGCAAGGGGTTAAACTCAAGGCCTTTCGTTTGGGCTTGGCTAGTAAAGAGTTCAGGGTTTAGGATTCGGGGCTTGGGTCTACTATCCTCTTCTATTGCCCATCCAACTATACAATAGCATAACCCAAACAGACTGTTCCAAATGAGCAAGGCCCCTAGACCAAATTCCAGGCACGATGAGAAAGCTTGCAAGAGGGTCCCCAGGGAATGGTACTACGTCGGAGTAGGGCTTCTTTCGGGGTATATTCTAACATAAGCCTAAACCGGAACCCTAACGAACAAGATTGATAATTTTTTCAGGCCCCCAGTATTTTAAGCTAAACCCTAAACCCTAAACCGAACCCGAAATGGGCCTCCTCCTTGCCCCAGAGCTCCTCTTCACGTTGGCGCAGGTACTGCTCACCTAAGGAAGGCGGTGTTTAGGATCTCAAGTTCAAGGTTTGGGGTCCTAAGGTTGAGGGCCTTGCTTGAACCCCCCCCCGCACTAAAAGCTGAAACAGCACTCGGTGTCTGAAACTCTGAACACCACAGTTCCACCCCACGCCCGAAACCCAGAACGCTATGAACCCTAAATCCCACACCATATGTCCTAACATCCCAAACCATATACCCTGCAACCTGAACCCTAAACCCCAAGTTCACCCCAAACCCCCCAGCCTAAAACCCTAAACCCTGAACCCCTAACCACCCAGTCTTGCCATGTCCTTTCGGGCATCCGACGCTGCTCTCGTAGCTCTTGCTGCTGATGCCTAAGGATGGCCTGTTGAACGAAGGGTTTAGGAAGTTTCGGGTTTTGGGGCTCTAGGACTTTAGGGACTTAGGGAGGTTTGGGGTTTAAGGCTTTAGGGCGTGGGCCTAATGGGGCCGAATAAGGCTTGAGGGTTTGGGCCTCAGGGGCCTAGTAGGACTTCAGGGCTTTAGGGGGTTTGGGGCTTTAGGGTTGAGGGGAGGTTTTGAATGAAAGGCTTGGGGGCGTATATCAGGATCAATTAGGGGTACAAGCTCTTCAATAGAGTCTAGGAGTTTCGGGTTTAGGTTGTGACGGCAGAAATACTTGGGACACGGCTTTGGGAACAAGTTATCGTATCACTATACAAGGGCCAGAAGCAAAGTGCCTTAAGAACCAAACTAAGATGTTTAGGAATCCTTTGGGTTTGATTATAGCAAACATATAGAATACTTTCGAAGAACACTGCAGGCAGGAGATACTTTTAGCCAGTAGTCCGACCCCAGAGGTTGATTCCTAGTTCAAGATTCGGGGCTGAGGCTTCGGGACCGGTTCAAAGGCCTGCGACTTGGGGCCCTAGCCCTTCACCGCAAACCCTAAACCCCCTTAAAGGTGCCGGCCGTTAAGGGTTCCTTTAGAGGGTTCCTTTAGAGGGTTCCTTTAGAGGGTTCCTGAGAGGGTTCCTGAAAAAGCCTCAAGATACAGAACATCAAACCGGAACACTGAAACCTGACCTCTCAACCCTAAGCCCTAAC